TGAAATTTTCATTAATAAAACTTATTTACAGCCGAGCTATATATTCCGGTTTTACCATTAAGGTGTTTATTAAACTACTATCTAGTAATATTTTAGAAACAATTCTCTCATAAATGATTTAATTTGAATACTCCCACTGAAAATGCAAGCGATCAGTATGTAAAGTGATATTACTATTACTCAGACATTTGTAATCACGTATCAACGCAGCTGAGAAAATTGGGAAAAAAACCTTGCTCTAAAGCTTTTAAATTTTTTTCATTGATAATTCATGTTTAAAGTGACCTCACAAAATAGTTTTCATGTAGGAAATATAAGACATGTATATACCATTTCAATATTTCTTCATGTTTTTGTATTCTTTTTTTTGTCGACATTTTTATGAAAATAAAAATATCTAGAGTTCCAGTTACATTACAGAAAGTACAGATTCAATAGCTTTGAATATCACACTTAAACTGAAATTTCAAGGCTTATTCATTGGTTTTTATTTAAAAATGAATTTTTATGTATTACAACAGCTAAATTACGTTCTATTGACATCTTATTGCTGTTGGTTTGTAGAATGCTTTTTAAATAACGTCTCTAGGGAACGGAAATTTGGACACTTGTAAAAGGCAATAAAAGTGTCTAGCATAGGATTGAAGCATAAACACTGATTAGATATGTAAGGAAATGTCAGAAGCCATACTAATAGAAGGCATGTTTCTCATTTTCTGGAATATATGTGGGTGAACAGAAAATATGATGATGTTTAAATATAATCTTGGTAGTAATACAGATTCTCAGATGCATCGTTTTTTGTGAGAGTCAGTGTCTACAAAAATCCGTTAAAGTTTTTGTTCAATTATATAAAACAAAATATGCAAAATGTATATGACATGTATGAAATATCGCTAGTACGTTATCTTTTTTACGTATTTAATCAAATGCTTAATCTTGTTCTTAAACAATGTGAATATGTAGAATTGGAACAGTCTACGAAACAAGGCCCCAAAAAAGAAAAGAAAGAAACACAAATGCTCAGTAGAGAATCAAGTCACACAATGATCTGTTTTATTTGAAGACATGTCAACTTAAGTTAAATATAAGACAATTTAGTATATTTTTGAAAAGTTCATAAAATGTTCGGAACACAACTTAAATTTTATACAAAAAGTATCTTATATAGTGGGTGATTTTGAGGTCTAAAAATAACTTTAAACTCATATGAGTTATTATTATGTAGATTGTAAGTCCAACCCGCCTTCATGGATGTTCTGTGCTGTAATATAGACTACAAACGACAAAGCATGTATCAGAATAACCTACAACTTAATTCCGGATATTGTTTTATAGGTTTCAATAGCAGCGCAATTGCTGCTGGCTATATGCAATTAGCACGTTGTTGCGGGCATACGGGTTTATTATACATGTTTAGTGTTTGTTTTTTGTTTGTTTATTTTTTGTTTGTTTGCTTGTTTTGTGTTGTTTTGTGGGCGGGATATTGGGGTAGCGAGAAACGATGCGTGCAAAGCATTGTAGAAAATATCTCAGAGTTTAATGTAAATTTTCAAACTTTAATAAATTTTGAAACACCCTTTGAAGATTTTAACTCAAATTTAAACTATGTTTCTAATCTTTCTGACAGAGAAGGACTTGTTAATATATCAGTTGTGTATACTGAAAGAATGTGTTCTTCTTCCCATTGCTTGTTTTAAAAATCTTTCTTGTTGCATTCACCAAATGAAATTCCTCAATACTGGGTTGTGTTTTGTCTTGTACTGGAAAACGATTATATTTGAGTATAAAATAGAGAAAAACAGAATTCCTAAAGAAAGCCCAACACGGCAATAATGTAAAACGTTGCAGGCTCGGTTTGATTGAGCCTGTTCATGGACAGTACTGGAAGTTACCGTCCAAACCCCTAGAACCGGTTTAAGCAGAACTCACCATTAAAACACAAAAATGGTGAAATTTTGAATTCAGAAATATCCGCAGACCTGTTCATACGGCGTTTCATGGAACCTTTAATGTGCCACAGTAGTGTCATTTAATGAAAAGCAACGCATGGTCCCCAAGTAAAAGAATGCGTGTGCCCTATACGAGAAAACAATGGGCGGAACTAAATAAACTGGAATTTTGAAAGGGGATTTGAGGTTGTGGAGCCTGCATTTTACAGACAAGACGTCAAAAGATAAAATTTAAAACGCAGGCAACATGTCCTTATGGTGATTATACAGTAATCAAGTAGGAATACTTGAACCACCCAAGTTGAAAAATGCCAAATAGAAAAAACTAAAAACACCATCATATATGTATACACAACATTAATGTCGGGCTGAACGTTTTTCAAGGATCAAAAATATAACATCTTGGGAGAAAATCAATTTAATCAATTAAATAAACAACTCAACCAAAATAACCAAATTTTAGCTAATTGTTTCGTTTTTCTTTATTACTATTTCTTTCTACTTAGAATTTACATGATTGATTTATTCCTCCGATTGTTTCATGAACAATATGCTGTATCATTATTTGCATCCTTACACTCTGTTGATATCATTGATAATTAACAAAGCAACAAAGCAAGATATAACACGGACATGATAAAATATAAATTGACAGAATTTGTGGATAATGCCAGTTCAAAGTACTAAAAATGTAAACTGGTATTTAGATGTTAAAAGCTTGAGGACTTAAAATTTTATCTAGACAATTATACAAAGCAGAGCAATTTCCATTAGTGTCATTTAAGATGTTTATTAATGCCATTCTGCCCTTTGTAATATTTTTGTTCTGTATTTGTTATCACATCTCATTTGCTTCTTCATGAAAATTAAAAATAGAAAAATGATACTGTGCAGCACAATACAGTTGTGAATTTAAATTATTATTAATATTTTTTGAATATTAAAGTTGTGTTGAATAGGAAAGTTATCTTTATTAGGTGTAAGGGCTCATAAACCGTAACTTCCAGTACCGTCCATGAATAGGCTCAATCAAATTGAGCCTGCTACATTTTAATTTTTACATTTTGGGCGTCTTTGAGGGAATCCGGTTTTTACTATTTTATTGATAACGTTTTTCAGGATATAAACTAAATTCTGGGAAGTTAAATATATAAAACACAAGTATATCCTTTAATTTATTTATTAATTTAAGGCAGTTGTGTTTTAAAGCTTTAATTTCTAAAAGAAGAAAATAATACATACTTGAAACATAATGTATAAATTTTTCTTTAACTTTAAACGGTTTTTCGTAATAAATTTGTATTTTATTATTTCTTAAACGCACGTTTCTTCTTTGACAGCTACTTTTTAAGATCTTTAAAGTTCATTTTGTAAGAAAACCCTTCAACCTTAACTTTAACACGATGTACAGTATCGGTCAAGGAAGAAAAACTTATATCACATTGTGTATTTTATGCCTCCTCATATTTTAGGGATGGTCATAAATAATAACAATTAAAGCATTTAAAGTCATGTTACTATAAAGATTATAGGAAACGTCAAGCAAGCAGAACTTAATGATTTTCATATAATGTAATTGTTTTTCACGCAAGTGCACTATCTTAATAATATATTCTTAAACTGTAATTAACTACTTTTTGATCGTGACGATATTCTAGATATGTGTTTTCCAGAATTCTTATTTTGTTAATTAATTACTTCATTGGAATAACGTTTTATATATGAAACAGTCTGCTTTCCACCGTTTGAAAGAAATATTGTAACATTTAATACTGTAAATTGTTTATTTTATTTATCCATTCAATCAATGTAATTCAATATCTAACATTTTATGAAGTTCATATATAAATTATATCAATAAACAGTTCAGGTATTTAGATACCATATTTATTTAAACACGATTGTGACTATAGCTAACAGCTTATAAGAACCAAACAAACTGAAAACGTATTGCAAAGATAATAGAAACCAATTACACCTTGAAATAATAAGATGCAAACTAAATTGTAAGTATTTGAAGCTTGAAAAGGGACCTAAGAAATAAGAAAACATTTTAAAATTTTAAACCGCCATTCTGGAAATCATATACATGTAAATGAAACCAAAAGATAAAAGGAAGAATATTCGAAAGTTTAAATTAATTATTGTCCTTACTTAATTGTGTAAAAGGTTTCCAGTCAAAGCTGTAAATAATTATCTGAAAATAGTGTATAAAAACAACTAGCACTTTGATTGAACCCGCATCAAACCAGAATCACAGATTAAAAGAAAAACTTATTAACCAACGCTACAATTTTAGTTATTACAATTTTCAGTCTGTGTTCTGTCCGTATATATGTGTGTTTGTGGTTTAACATGTGTTCTATTACATCAATTTTACAATAACGAATTATCTTGATAACATCAGTATTGGACGATTTGGTCATGAATTTATGCGTATTTATCACGCTTGTGTCCCGTTTCAAATTTTTGATTTTCAAATAAAGATAATTTAGAAAAGGGAATCAATAAGAGTTACTATTGCACATAGCTGTATGCTAAGCTACCCTGTAGAAATAGTACGAATTATTCTGTGGGGAAGGGAAAACTGAAAGGCTGCAAAGTACGAAATAAATAAATATGTAGCAGACTCGATTTAATCAAATCTGTTCGTGGACGGTTATTGTAAATTACAGATCAACTATCAGTCCATGTTCAAAAACACTTATTCAAGCAGAACGCAGAAGATGTGAATATGAATTTTGAAACATATTCAGATATCAAACTTAATAACAGTTGTATACCTTAACTCTTAAATCATTTTTGGAGAAAAACAAATTATTTTATTATATTTTACGTATCGTATAAATCAACGATATATTTCACTTGTACTGAACCTGTTTTCACCTTTTCATTGTAAAAACATACAAGCGTATTTCCATGGTTTCATAAGTAGCTTTAGCTCTGAAAAGTGGTACACGCATATTTAGAATTCTTCTATTATTGATGGCGTAATCATTTTAAGTATAGATTGCTTTAATTGAAGAAACAATAAATATTTAAAAAAAATTCTAAATTACAAACAGTTAAACTTTTGTGTTAATTGGCGTTTCCGAAAGATCTGTAACATATAATATCTCTGTTTTTAAAATGTATTTTGAACGTCATGAGCATTTTTTTCCGGAACAAAATTCTGTGTTTCTATATAAAAGTTTTAGCTTTAATTCGCCCTTTGCTTATAGGCCAATTATAAAACCTTTTTCTTTCATACAGGTATTTTGATATTCTTTCCAAAAAATTCAAACTTTACTTCATGCAGCAGATATGTAGCGTTATACACTTTATCCAAATAGAAATGTTTAAAATAGATTAAACCTGAAACAGCTATTTAGAACATTAACCATACCATATCAATGACTTACCTTTGCACAAAGGTATGTAACTTTTGAATATCATTCGTATATTTTATCATTTTGACAACAAGTGCAAAGTGACAATCAAAATCAATTAAATATTGTATAATTTTTGTGAAAGAGATTGTCATCTACAATGTGAAAAATATTCAAGGATGCCTGTAAACAACAAACAGTGTCAATAATTTACTTGCTTTTACTCAATGTTAGCACCGATTTTCTGAATTTTTCGAGTCCATTTAACTTAGATATTGAACTTAAATTTAACAAAAGACGATACAACAAATCTTTATCAATAAACCAATGATCATTGAATATTCTTTATACAACATTCATCAAAAATATTAAAATTGTCTATTGTTCATTTTCATGAAATATCAATTTATAATATTTTCAGGAAACTCCAAATAAGTCAAAGCAATATCGCTGTTTTACTTTCTATTAATTGCTTGATGGAATATGCATGCATCTATTTTGTGGATGACCTCTATCCATCATAAACAGTCATTCCATGTGAACATTCTGTATTAACTTAAGTGTGTTGCTGCTAAAATAATATGAATTAGCCAAATTTTGAATTTTCAACATTTTCAGAAATATCTTTAAAATTACATACTGTACAAATCAAATAAGCTTTTATTCACAAATCAATAAATACAAATATTACTTGATCAAGCTGCCTTTTATTCTATGTATTTCCAAAGTCGTTTTCAAAAGAATATAAATCAGATAATTTACTAAGTAACACGCCCTTAAACATTATTCAGTATTCAAATATCTGAATGGCTTATTATCAAAATATCTTTAACATATTTTTGCATCATTTCATACTTTTACTCCTTTTATCGTCTATAGCAGAACATTAACTAAGCATCATTATATAATTATGAGTAAGAAATTATAGACCTGGATTAGAAACTATTCATTTTTTTTTTTCAAAAGTATACACTGCACCATGTTGTTAAAATATTAAGCATTTTCTTTCTAGATGTCTCCCAGGTGCAAAATGTATAATCTTTTAAACAGGCAACACGTAGCTTCAGCGTAAATGTCTTTTATTATATATATTACTTTGATTATCATTCAAGGTCAATACTGCCTTGTAATCCTGTGCTATATGGATAAATATCTCTAAATGGACTGAATTCGTCAGGAATACTTTCATAAGCATCCATATTGAATTCTGTGATGCCAGGTATAATACTGTATCCAGAAGGAATTTTCATTTCTCCAGTATACGGTTGATTTCTTTTCCCTATGAACATTGGTCGAGTCGGGGTCCTTTTTCCGATGAAAAGAGGTGCTTCGAATCGTTTAGAAGTTGTCCTTGGTTCGGTACGAGCAAATTGAAGCGCATCAAGAGCTGACAGAATAGTTGAAAGAGAATCCCGGCGACCAATGAATTCCGGGGCAACAAATCTTTTTTCCATATATGATGGTTGTGGCCCTGGTAATCTAAACGCGGGTGCTAAGCTGTTTTTTAAAGGAATGTATCTTCCCCAAGCGCGCTTCAAACTTTCATCATTTGCATTTCCAACTGATCGCTTTCTTCGTTTACTTCGGTCAGCATTTTCCTGTACTGTGTTTATTTCTTCAGTCGTTTCAGACACAGATCTCTTTTCTACGTGATTTTGTTCATTTGAAATTTGATCTTGGCTTCTTTTACCGACAAAAAATGGCTTATATCTTTTTTCTTGCAAGGAGTCCTCTGGAGAAAACTTTTTACCGACAAAGATGGGCTGAAGACGTTTCCCTATAAATCTTGGTGCGTATCGTTTGCCAATAAACCTCGGTGTGTATCGCTTTCCAATAAATCGTGGTGTATAACGCTTTCCAATGAATCTCGGGGTGTATCTTTTGCCGATGAATCTCGGGGTGTATCGCTTCCCAATGAATCTTGGTGTGTATCTCTTTCCAATAAACCGAGGAGTATATCGTTTTCCAATAAATCGTGGTTGGTATCTCTTTCCAACAAACATAGGACGGTAACGTTTTCCTACAAACATTGGTCGATAACGTTTACTTTCATCAATAAAGTCACCTTCATTTTCATCCAATGTAGTAAACCGCTTTCCTACAAAAGAGGGCACGTATCTCTTTTCACCCTGAGAGTCCATGAGAATGTCATCGTTTTCATCTGTATCATTTTCGTATTCAGAATCAGTTTCATATGATTCAATATCGGATTCGGAAGGCGAATCTTTGTTCTCATTTTCTGAATCAAATTCACTTAAATCTAGATCATCATAGTATTCTAATAAATTTTCTACATATTCATCTATTGAACTAAGCTCTTTTTCATCAGGTTTTTCTGAACTTTCAACACTGACATTGTCAATTTCGGCATCTTCTGGATCTCTTTTTCCAACAAAACGTGGGACGTAGCGCCGCACTAGCAGTAATTTATCGGACCCGCCTACGCTGCCGCTGCTGCCGCCGCTGTCGCCGCTGATCGCTTGAGCGTTTGACCCTTCTGCTGCGCCTGTCAGCAAAAAGAGAAAACAGTAAGTTAGGTGGAACGTTACTCTAGGCCAGACAAATCTTTGCTCTATAATTTTCTATTATTTTTGATATGAAAATAAACATCTGCGTTCATTTTAAACTGATATCGCTAGATTCAGCTTTGGTAAAATTAAAATGTACTATTTAGCATGGCGTTTAATTAAATTATATAATGTGGCAGGGGTTGTATGGATATAGCTATAACAGTGCAAGCGCTTTGACATTTTTTTTTCTTATTGTATTTTCTTTAAATACCATTTCTTACTCGTCTATTTAAGTTTTTCTATTGGACTTAATGTGCTAATATTTATTAAGTTACAAACTGATTTGACACTTACGGAAAGAAACTTGTAGCAGCAATTATATATTGACACATTATTATATATTATGAAATGTTCTTTAAGTACAAAACACATTCAGGGTAAGAGAATAACATTATTTGTTATCCCATTATTTACCAAACATAAAATTATATCAAAATAGAACTTAATGCAGATTTGATAGATCACTTTGATTCATTTATTATTCTATTCATCTTTTTATTCATTATTGTATTCATTTATTTATTGATATTTATTTTTCAATCTTAATCCATTTTTCATTTCAAAATGAGAGAAGATGACGTGATGTTGTTGTCGCAATTTAACTGGCTGGTACAAGAAAACCAATGCAGACCTATATTTACTGATGTTCCACTCATTACATTTTCTTATTAAAGTATCTTCCTAGTTATTTGCGCAAAGTAAAATCTATTATTTTCTTAATAACTTAAATATTCTTTTAACAGTTCGATCGTTACAATTTGACTGGTCAAAATTGCACAATGGTACTATAAAAGTAATTGTATCATAGTTTAGGGACCTTTCTGTTGAAAATGTGTTAAATCGTATACATATACATGCTCAGTGCGTTAACTGGAGTGCAGGTATTAGTTACCCGCACTCCAGAGCATGCCCATTGATTGGGTCATTTTGCCTGGGTTTTACATGTTGTGACGACAGAGAAAGGGATATCATATTCAGATGCTCGTTCATTGGTTACCTTTTCCTGGCGTTTCATATTATGACATCAGGAAACGTGTTTTAATTTTTGACTATGATACAAATGAGAAAGAACATCAAAACACTCGGCAATCAGATTAATTCGTACAAATCAGATAGCCTCGTGTTTCGATGCTCTTTCTATTACATAAAGAGTAAAAAGATATTAACTAAATGAAAAAAATAACCTAAATATATAATTAGACGGGAAATGATTCCTAATCAAGAAATCAACTTTTTCTTAATATGTTCGTGAAAGCAGTTTTACGTTATTAAGTTTGCTCTGGAAATATATAAAGTACTTTAATTTTATTACCTTAATTCAACTGAACTGTTAAAACTATACAAGACATATCACGTTCCAATATTCAATCAAATGAATATTATTTCTTTGTGTATAAAATCCTTGGCGCTAAAATTTTAACTTACATTAAGCTATACATGGTATGATAAAACAAGGTCATGGTTGTTAAAAATTAGCTGAATTCCAATATGATATTTACGCATTCGAAAATTAAATTAAAATGTATTTGCCATTCTTTATTATGCTTTCACACACATCTATTTTACATACATTCTTTCTACATTATTGTATTACTTTGCTTACTATTAAGTATTACCGTCGTAATCATTATTTAACGAATCACTTTGCTTACGTTGTTGTTGTAGGTGAAACAACCCGTTTGTATCAAAATTATTAAGATCTGAAAAAGATTGTACTAATTAAAACGCCTTACTGAACTAGTCGGGCGGGTAACAATGATTTGACATAATTGCTGTATTTTTATTTCGTTTTAAATTATTTTGTTTAAAAATTAATTAGTTTATTTATTATAAAGAAACGCCAGGAAATATTAGATGCATACCTGTATTTTCAGCTGTCCCAATAGATGCTGTAAGAATTAAAGTCAATGCAGATAGGATAATGAGCACTTGTTCCATTACGTTATACACGATCTGAAAATAGAAAAATCTTTACATGAATATATATCTCACACATACTATCTGAATAATAAAGACATTAAACGATTATTTGTATGATATCATTCAAAATTTACAGTATACATATTAATGCGAGCTAAGAGTTAAATAGTAATAATTATGATAAACAGCAGATAGGAAATACGAGTTATTATTTTATGAGACTAATAAAAGGAAGTCAACTTTGAAGTTTCAACAAAGTCCGATTAATCTAAGCTAATATTGTTGAGAAGATATTTTTTACAAAATATCATATCTTTTTTCAAGAGTTATCCATTTTCTTTCCTACAAACAAATTCTCTTTGTTTGACAAATTACCATGTTCAGATTTGACATATTCCATTTATACTATGTTTCTAATTTACGTTAACGCATTGTATAGATTGAAAAGATAAAGAATCAAAGCCTGTCATGCTGTTTGTTATTTACTTTATTTAGGATGCTTTCAAAACTTTACTGAATCTATGCAGACTTATCATTACCAACTTGTTTGATTTGATATTTTTGATAATGATATTTCAGGTAAAATTCAGATTCTAATTATGAGTTGCTTAATGTCAAAGAGTGGTCAAGGCTTTGAAATTCCTCTCCTGATATTGTATTGAAGAGCAGGTAAAAACAATACAACTAAAATACGAAATGTATTTTAAAATGGTTGATCCTTGAACTTATTTATTTTCAAAATGAGTTTTCAACCTTCGTTAAATAAAACCGTTTTTAAATCTAGCGTACCTTGCATACACAATTTCATTTTCCACAGCATATATTAATTTAGAGATAATGTATCCATTTCGCTTCACATAAAGGACCTAAATAGGTTTACTTTAATATCAACAAATAAAAAGTAATATTCCTTTTAAAGATACTAGTAGGCAAAATATATCTTACTCGGTTCCTGGATTCCGTAAATTGTAAGTGAGTACACAGAATGAAATTCTTAATCAATATCCTTTTTCAACATGCAAGCCTTTTGTTCGCTTTATGGAGCACAACAATTATTGTCTTTTTACCCTAAGTTTCTGTTTATGCATTGATGACCCGCACTTACAGCTATAGTTTAAACTGTAATTACAAGTTAATGACTGCACGGAAAACATTTCGATAAATCTAAGCAGAAATTGACAGAAAAGACACTCACCACAAAATTAAATAAAAGCGGTGTAGTTTGCTGGAATTGCTATTTGATCAAATTTGCTACATTGTGATAGTTTTCGCCTATTTGAGATGTCTATAGGTCTCGTTAGGGATGAGAAAGTGGCTCATTTAATAAAGAACTTGGCGAGATTCACGATTTGAATCAAGTCCCTATAGGTTGAAAGGATACTGCTATTTTAGTATCGTTTAGTTCTAATACTTCAGCTATTGATTTGAATTTGTCAAAGAAAATCAAATTGACTGCCGAATAGTTGGACAGTAACAATGAAAGGCTCGTGACCTTGAATCAATTATAACAAATGGACGCCCGAGACCATTTTATTTTTCCAACAGATTAACGTGCAATTGTTTCCAAATTTGTAATAATTAAGCGAAGGCGCGGCCAATCCCGTGAGATGTTTCTTCTTAAATAAGTAAAAATTCATGTCTTCAGTCTTTTTTATTATCTACAGTTTTATGATGTGTTTCAAGTTATTGCAAGTTGGCTAATCAGAAAAGATAGGAGTGCCCACAAAATATGTTTTTCTTTTCGATGCTGAATTTATTACTTTTAATCTTTTATTTAATAAAGAAATATTCTAAGCCATGCCCGCATACTTATTTCAGTCTCGCATAGTTTAAACTGCAGAAAATATCAATTTATAAGTCTATGAATAAGATTTCTTTTATTATCAACGCTTTTTATATAACTTTTTGTCAAGAAAATGTGTGAATCAACCGGTGACAGACTCGTTTGCAAAACGAAATTATTTTGATGAAATATAAGTTTGGCTAACAGGGAAATAAATCACGTTTTCCATCAAAGCCCACCCATGCCTGTAATATCTTGCAATAATTTACGACTTTCTTCACATATCAGTTTTCTCAGTCATTTCGCGACATGATAGCGAGTATTTAACTAGATACAACTGTTTAATGACTGGAATTGTATCCGACAAGTCAAAGGGGTTTTATTCATTAGCGTTTCACACATCGCCAAACAAGGGCAATTATCACACGAAAGGCATAGCATGAGGTTTGGTAATTCTTTTAAATTTGGTATAATGGAAATAAATCTTATAAAACTATTGAACAATATCGTGCCGTAGGAACGAGAAACAAATGAGAAATTGTCTGTTGCGCATTTAAACATCTGTTGTAATTAATACTTTTCGGCGGCCGAGGCTATATTTGACGTATTTTCGTTCGTTTCAGAGCTGTTATTTGTTGAAAGAACGTGATTATCAAATGTCACTTAACAAAACCATACATTGATTGGTATATTATATATATTATAGCTTAGCTTAGTAAGAAGCATGCAATGTTTAATAAACCGTCGCTTATGCGTGTGTAAACTGTTTTAAATTGCACGTTTACAAGTAAGTTACCAGGACATCCTTTGCCTTTTGCAATACACATAAAATACATAAACTATGTCTGAATGTGGTGTCAAAGAATCCTAAATTGAGTCGGAACTCCCTTAAGATTTCATAGTCTATCATGTGTCCACATAAAGCATATAGTATAGTAGAATACATGCTTTAAAAAAGCAGCACTTATTTGTATTTTTTAGTTTTGTAAACAGAAATATATATAAATATAATGAAAATTATGTTGGTTACAAAAACGTTAAGCCATAGTTTATATTACCTTTAATGAATTCTTACGCACATTTCTTTTAAAAAATATATAGAATGTCAAATTTGTTTTTGTTGAATATGCTTTCTTTTCGGCTCTTATTCGAATGGTTAAAGTTGACCATTGTAAAATAATATGTTTTTATATTCATACCAATTATTATACAACAAGAACAACATTTAATATGTTTAGTTATGACATGTAATGAGTCCAAAGGACACTTATAGAATTGTTGACTTTTTAAGACGATGAAATACATTACCGAAACCTCTAAAATATACTAGACTCGCTTTGTACGAAAAATATTCTTATTGTTGCAGAAAATGAATATGCATATAATTTTTACAACCTTGTCACAATAATCACGTATTCAACAATGAAGTCTAGTAAGTATTACAGAAAAAAAACTATGTTTTTTTATCTCACCAAAGAATATAATGCATTTATACTTTCTCTATGTCACTTTGAAATAAACATTACAGAAAGGTGGAATTTTATGAAGTCATAATATGACATTCGCAGACTCTTATGCAGATTCCCTCTAGTGCTTTTTCTTTCAGGTCTATTTTTGAGCAAATGGAAGGATATGCGATGTGACAGAACAGCAGTGTTGTAAGAAGCCCTTCATGTGAAGATTTAATTATGTTGCCGTTTATCCGTTTTATCCGTTTAATGTTTCTGGTTACTTATTAGAATATAATAACTAAAACAGGAATTTAACGCCTTTTCATTGATCTTTTTTAAGTAATGAAAGGTAAATGCGAATTACTTTTGCAAGAAAGCAATGTTCTCAAAAAACTTGTGTTTGTTTGCTGTTTAAAGTCAGAAATGTACAAGAAATCTTATGAAGGTTTGTAACTATTGTAAGAACAAATGTAAAAATCAATTCTTGATCCGTAGGCATGCCCGTATAACTTCAGGCTGTAATTAGGAAATTTAAAAGTAATCGATAATTTCATTTTGACACAGCCCTTTCTAAAAGCATGAAACCATATAAGTGATCTTATCCATATGTTCTGAAAAATATTGTCTGGTTATGAAGGGAAACAGAAAGCGAAATAAACAAAATTGATATTTGGGTAAAATAGAGAGAAATAAGAATCCCTAAAGAAAGCCCAACACGGCAAAAAATGAAAATGTTGCAGGCTCGGTTTGATTGAGCCTGTTCATGGACGGTAGCGTCAAGTGCAAACTACCGTCCACGCCCCTAGCACCGGCTTAAGCAGAATTTAACATTTAACATAAACTGGTAAAATTTAGAATTTTTAAACATCCGCAGATGTGTTCATATGGCAGTTATCATGGAACCTTCAATGTGACACGTTAGTGCCATTCCATGAAAAGCGGCATATGGTCCCCGAGGAAAAAACTGCATGTGCCCTAAACGAGAAAACAATGGGAGGAACTAAATAAAATGGAATTTTGAAAGGGGATCTGAGGTTATGAACTTATGATTAAACCTTACGTTGATGTAAACAATTCATTAAAAGAACAAATAGATTCTCAAATGTTGAAGACTGAAATTGAAATCACTTCTGGTACAATTTTTGTAAGATAATTCAATGATAAAAATATGAAGGAGGGCGTATAACATTAAGGTAAATGTTTCCTCTACATTTACATGCCAACTTATGTTTTGCATATCAGACTGATATTTTCGTTAGTTTTACCCATGCCAGGACATTTTATCCGGCATCGGGGGGGGGGGGGGTGCCAGGTGAGTCGCGTGCCATACAAAAACGTCATTTTGGCGCATTTAATGAGTGAAAAGTCGTGCCTATGATGACGTCATTTCGCTGTTAATTGTAAATTTAAACGCAATTGTAAGAACATAGTAACAGAGGAAATGACATTTATATCCAAGAAAAACTTGTTTTATTGATGTTAAGAATTAGAAAAATGATAGGATATAGTAGGATATTCAAGACAAAATATCTGTCATTCGTTTGGGGTTCAGATCAGAATAACCGTGCCTCGGGTATCCGCTCATGGACGGTAACTAAGCAAGAAACTATCAAATGACGTTTGGTCTTGTATGTCGTTAATTTATCTTATTTAATCTTTAATTTTAGAAAAATATTTTATAATAGGCATAGTATTAATTAAAAATTAAATTACAATCAGATACATAAAATAGAATTTCGCAAAGAGAAGAAACTACAAAAATTATTTTCTGACTCCAATTTCAAGTCCATACAGATGAA